AAACCAATCTGAAATCGAAACCTGTCTGAAACCAGTTTGAAACCGTGTCTGAAACCAGTCTCCGACCGTAACCTGTCTCCAAAAACCGTGCCTGAAACCGTTTTGAAACAGCTTGAAACCGCCTGAAACCAAAACCAATTTGAAACCAGTTTCAAACCTATTTGAAAAAGTTTGAAACCAGCCTGAAACCAGTCTGAAACCAGTTTGAAACCAGTCTAAAACCAGGTGACAGCACCTGTAAGAGGCCGTGTTTTTATGCTCATTGCATTTGCACCGATGAAATCAATTGCTTCAAAAACCCAAGGTTTTTGCACATTCTGATTGAAGTCCATCATGAATCTAGAGAATAAAGCACTGTAAGGCTGACCGAGGACATGCGTTTTTGGAACCCCGTGCAGCATTTTCATCACTTTTTTAACTCTTTGCCGGCGCGCCTGAAGTTTCAAGTGCTTTTTTTTCGGCACTCTTCTGCCAAAGCTTGCCACAACATTAACATCCCCCAGCATCACGTAGTTGTATAACTTGAAGAGAACGTGCAGTAGCTTAGCATCACGTAGTTGTATAATTTGAAGAGAACGTGCAGTAGCGTAGCATCACGTAGTTGTATAACTTGAAGAGAACGTGCAGTAGCGTAGCATCACGTAAGTGTGCAAGTCCCATGAACGTTAACATCCCCCAGCATCACGTAGTTGTATAACTTGAAGACAACGTGCAGTAGCGTAGCATCACGTAGTTGTATAACTTGAAGAGAACGTGCAGTAGCGTAGCATCACGTAAGTGTGCAAGTCCCATGAACGTTAACATCCCCCAGCATCACGTAGTTGTATAACTTGAAGAGAACGTGCAGTAGCGTAGCATCACGTAGTTGTATAACTTGAAGAGAACGTGCAACGTGCAGTAGCGTGCAGCATCACGTAGTTGTATAACTTGAAGAGAACGCGCAGTAGCGTAGCATCACGTAGTTGTATAACTTGAAGACAACGTGCAGTAGCGTAGCATCACGTAGTTGTATAACTTGAAGAGAACGTGCAGTAGCGTAGCATCACGTAGTTGTATAACTTGAAGAGAACGTGCAGTAGAGTAGCATCACGTAGTTGTATAACTTGAAGACAACGTGCAGTAGCGTAGCATCACGTAGTTGTATAACTTGAAGAGAACGTGCAGTAGCGTAGCATCACGTAGTTGTATAACTTGAAGACAACGTGCAGTAGCGTAGCATCACGTAAGTGTGCAAGTCCCATGAACGTTAACATCCCCCACCCCACCCCCCCACCCCACCCCCCAACGAACCGTAAATGAAGAGACAGGAAAAATGACATACGCGCACGGCCTCTTATAGGCGCCGTCACCTAAAACCAGTCTGAAACCAGTCTGAAACCCGTCCGAAACGAGTTTGAGACCAGACTGAAACCAGTTTGAAACAACCAAGTCTGAAAACCAATCTGAAACCAATCTGAAACCAGTTTGAAACCCTCTGAGAACCCTCTGAAACCAGTATGAAACCCTCTGAAACCAGTCTAAAACCAGCTTAGAACAATTCTGAAATCCATCTGAAACTCTGAAACCAGTTTGGAACCTGTCTGAAACTAATCTGAAGCTACTTTGAAACCAGTCTGAAACGAGTCTGCGTCCAGCGGCGTCCCGGCGACAATCGCGGCAAGGCACCAGCTTTAGAGTCCCCAAGTGCCACACCTGCCACACCAAACCACCGCGGCATCCAGCAGCATCCCCGGCGATCATCGCGGCAACGCAGCAGCTATAGAGTCCGCAAGCGCCGCACCTGCCACGACAAACAAACCACCGCGGAGTCCAGCCAGCTACAATCGCAGCAACGCGCCAGCTATAGAGTCCCCACCGCAGCGTCCACCCAGCGACCCAGCGGCAAGTGCCAGCCATAGAGTCCCCAAGTGCCGCCTGCATGCCACGCCAAACCACCGCACCAGCGACAATCGCAGCAACGCACCAGCCAGTCAGCTTTAGAGTCCCCAAGCGCCACGCCTGCCACGCCAAACCACCGCGGCCAAGCCATACCACCGCGGCGTCCACCCATGCAGCGACAATACCGGCAACGCACCAGCTATAAGTGCTGCGCCTGCCACGCCAAACCACCGCGGCGTCCACCCAGCGACAACCGCGGCAACGCACCAGCAAAAAAAAAGGGAGTCCCCAAGTGCCGCGCCTGTCACACCAAACCACCGCGGCGTCCACCCAGCGACCATCGCGCCAACGCACCAGCTATATAGAGTCTCCAAGTGCTGCGCCTGCCACGCTAAACCACTGCGGCCCAACAAGCGACAGTCGCGGCAACGCACCAGCTATATAATAGAGTCCCCAAGTTCCGCGCCTGCCACGCCAAACCACCGCGGCATCCACCAAGCGACAATCGCAGCAACGCATTAGTTATAGAGTTTTTAAGCGCGCACCACTCCAAACCACCGTCCCCCAGCGTCCTGACAATCTCGGCAACGCGCCAGCTATAGAGTCCCCATGTATAGGCTGGCACGCCAAACCACTGCAGCGACCCAGCGACAATCGCGGCAACGCGCCACTATATAGAGCCCCCAAGTGCCGCGCCTGCCACGCCAAACCACCGCGGCGCCCACCCAGCGACAATCGCGGCAACGTGCAATAGAGTCCCCTAGCGCCGCCCCTGCCACGCCAAACCACCGCGGCGTCCAGCGGCGTCCCCGGCGACAATTGTGGCAACGCGCCAGCTTTAGAGTCCGCAAGTGCCGCGCCTGCCACGCCAAACCACCGCGACGTCCCCCCCGGCTTCCCCCCCGGCGTCCCCCCCGCGTCCACCCAGCAACAACCGCGGCAACATACCAGCTATATAGAGTCCCCACAAGCGCCGTGCCTGCCACGCCAAACCACTGCGGCGTCCCCCCGGCATCCCCCACGGCGTCCCCGGCGACAATCGCGGCAACGAACCAGCTATAGAGTCCCCAAGTGCCGCATTGATATAGACAGAGACAAGTTGATACGGACAAATTGCTATAGGCAAGTGGGTAGACAAAATGTGGATATAGACAGTGACAAGTTGATAGAGACATGTCGATATAGACAAGTTGATAGGGACAAGTTGAAATACAGAAGTTGATAGAGACAAGTTGCCAGAGACAAATTAAGAAACAGCGGGTGATAGACGGCGGGAGGCGGAGAGGAGGCGGATGTGGAACAAAAAAATAGAACCCCACATAGTGATGTGGTGAAAAAGAAGAAAAAAGATCAAAAGAAATCACACGCCAGACAGCCACTGGATCCCAGAAGCACAAAAACGAGCCGAAAATCGCAATAGTCCAACGGTCAACTTCCCTTTGGAAGCAGAGTACCAGGAATGGAATTCCACTGCGTCCTTGGTATGCAGAAATGTTGTTTTTGTATACAAGCCATATTTGAGAAAAGGACCTAGCATTATTAGCATTGATTTCTGGAACGAAAGACTTTCGCCTGAGTTTCTGGGGGCTTCAGTTTCAAAGCGCCAAAGGTCGATCCCGTCCTCTTCACATAGTGGTTTGACTGCGAAAGGCACAGCTGATGATGCTGAATGATGGGGTCGTGATGGGTTCAGAAGCAGATCTGCTTATGATTGATCATGGGGTAGTGAGAGCGTGGGCTGTAAAACACATCCACAAAAAAGATGCTGCTAGGTCCCCGCATGTCACAACATTCCAGCGACCCTAGTTTTCACTGCCGAAGTAGATCTCGATTCAACTAGGAAGGGTACCTTCGCTTGGATCCGGAAATGCTTGGAATATAAGACAAACCCATGGATTGCCCATTTGGGCGGTTCCACCCTTGCTATCGGTCTGCAAGGTCATCCACAATGCCCGCAACCCCAGTATCCGTTGGAAAAGTGTGGGTATGCACAGGATGACATGCTCGAATGGTTCAATCAGTTCAAGCGTGCGATTCGGCGGCTACCTTTGTAACAGAACTTAATCAATACAAATGTATATAATAGAAAAAAACAAAGAGATTGTTCTGGGCAACTCAAACAACAAAAGGCCAGCTATGAATGTATTCATTTGTATATCCAGCAGTCCAACCCCCCTCCCCCCTGTAATCTATTTTTGGGGACGTGTCTACACAATGCATGCTTACAGTGTTGCATGTACATGACATGCTCGCATTAATTTATTTGGACCACTGCGCCACTCCGTGGCTCAAGACTTGCTTGCATACCGCAGGAAAAAGGTGTAGCTTGCCGCCGTGTGACCACAAGTGTTCTAACATAGATCCAGGGCTCCCTCAATAAGGGGATTGCTACCTCAAAGTGGTAGCGGAGCCTGTGCCTCGCCAAGTCCCGATATCTGTATACAGCAGTTGTTCTTGGTATCTGCTCCGAAATTCGGACTTGCGAAGGCAACTTGTAGGTCACTTTCAAGTAGCTGCCATGGTCTTAATCCATAACATGGACTCAGACCTCAGACGCAGAGCAACTTCAAATTATACGAAGAGCCTGATGCCTATGCAGCCAGTCACGCCGAAAATCGGCTAGGCATCAAAATGACTCCAAAGGTACCTCCACAATTTGATGGCCAGCCTAGCTGGTTTGAATATGAAGATTTAATTGATGACTGGCTCGGTATTACAACATTGGATGCAAACAAGAACGGACCATCCTTAAAGAACGCCTTAGTACGTTCAGCTTCTTGTTACAAGTCGATGCTCGACAATGCCCTACTCCGAGATCCGGATCGTGGCCTCGCTCATTTCAAGGACACATTGAGACCCTACTTCGTGAAGGGAGTAAATCATGTGTTCCTTTGGCGATTCCTCCAGATGTTTTGCACATATAGAGGCCAGAGTGAATTCGTGCACTAGATAGGGCGCTTCGAAATCGCTCAGAAGCGCCTACTGGCTAGCTTGGTCCGATTTGCTTGACTCCGATATCCCGGAAACAGGCACACAGGCATTCATAGCAGCATTAACTGATGAGATACAGATGAAGAAAGATTGAATTGCCAAACAACCCTTCGAGAGCAGACCATGACAAATAGAAAGGCCCATCAACTAGAAACTAGAATTTCCGTTGTCGGATAACTTGATGTCCTTGATTTTCTTGGTGCAATCAGACCCCAACGAACAAGAGCGAGAGCGCTTTGTTTCGTCCATGAACATTCATCAAATAGCAATGCCTCAATACACTTATCTTCAAGTTAAGCAGCTGTTCTTAGAACTTTTCTGCGTTTCCCGAACAGGTGTTGCAGGCCCTAATACTTGGCGCTGATTTAAGCCCTTGCCACCTTTTACCATTTTGATTTTGGTGATGATACTTTTTAAATCTCAACAAAAATCAAAAAACACAAAATATGAAGGTCAACATTTTCCACAAATAGCGGGTGATGATTTTTCTATTTGTGATTCTTAGAGTAAATCAAGAAACAAAAATGCGAAGATCAAAATTTACCACGTGTCATATGACATTACAAAAGATTGGTGGGGGATTTGTTCACAATTTCCATGGGATGCTGTAAAAGTGTCCACTATGACTCAAAGGGGTGCTGTTCAAACAACATGTTGTTTTTGATGCTGGTGTTTGGTGATGGTTTTTCTATTTATGATTCTTAGAAAAATATCAAGAAACACAAATGTGAAGACCAAAATTTACCAAATGTCACAAGTCATTTAGAAAGATGGGTGGTGGATTTGTTCACAATTTTCCATGGTATGCTGTAAGAGTGTCCACTATGATTCAAACAGGGTGCTGTTCAAGTAACATGTTGTTTTTGATGTTGGTTTTTGGTGATTGTTTTTTATCCTTAGAAAAAGATCAAGAAACAAAACTGTGAAAATCATAGTTTTCCACATGTCATAAGTCATTGAAAAAAATGCTAGGGGGATCTGTTCACTTTTTTATTTGAAGAAATGGGTGGGGATCAGTTCATTTTTCCATGGGATGCTGTAAAAGTGCCCACTATGATTCAAAAGGGTGCTGTTCAAACAACATGTTGTTTTTGATGTGGGTTTCTGGTGATGGGTTTTCTGTGTGTGGTTCTTAGAAAAAATCAAGAAACAAAACTGTGAAGATCAAAATTTACCACATGTCGCAAGTCATTTTAAAAGGTAGGTGGGGCATCTGTTCGCATTTTTCCCTGGGATGCCGTAAAAGTGTCCGCTATGACTCAAAAGCGTGCTGTTCAAACAACATGTTGTTTTTGATGTTTCTTCTCCATTATTCAAAAGTCATCTCATACAATGTGCAAAGCAAATTTTCTCATGTAAGTTCCAGGTCCGTGCAAAAAATATCTATCATAGTTCATATTGCAGCGCCCTTTTTTTAATTCTCCCGGATGCTGTAGAAGCATCCATTTTATTTGTCTGACACTGGTGTAAATATTTGGGCATTATGGAGTTTTAAAGTCATTTGTGGTTGCCTCTGTTCAACGTGCCACCACAGAAAACATTGATCTTTTGTGATGCTGCAGCCCATATCGGACAGACACAGAAGTTGAAGGAGGGGGGGGCAGGGCGACCAAACAAATACACTAAGGCAAAAACAATCAATCAGATTCAATTTAATGGGTATTTCTATGTTTGGTTTCGTTGTTTCCTGCTGGCCTGCAGCCTTCAAGCCATGTGTGCTTTGGACCACATCTCAATTGCAACTTGTGCTGGCAATGAGAACTTAGCGCTGCATCTTCCGGTTGCTGCTGTAAAAGTGGCTTCCAAATTGAAAACAATTTCCACAGTTTGCTGTAAACATTTGGCCAAACAATTTTATATATAGGTCTAAAGATAATGAGAGGGAAACTGAGACATCGGTATTGGTGTTGCTACATACTTGCCAAAGGTATTCGATAATGGTGGCACATTGTTTTAATTTTCCTGTGCAGTGCTCACCCTTGAACTCTCAGGGCATCTTCACCGTCGGTCGCTCGTCTCAAAACTGAGCTCAGGGGGCTCTTAGTGCTGTAAAGCTGCTAATCCCCGGATGCTGTAAAAGTGTCCAAGCGGGATCTTAGCGCTGTAAAAGTGCTAATCCCCGGATGGTGTAAAAGTGTCCAAACAGCGCTGTAAGAGCGCTGCAAGGGTTGGACTTGAAGGGCGCTGTAAAAGTGCCTGGACCTACAACCTGCACTGCGAGAAGACCAAGAGTCCGGAAGCTTCAAGATCTTTCACATCAAGTTCAGAGGCGGGGTCAGCGGCAATTTCCAGCTATAAAACCTATATAATAAGCAAAAGACAACCCCACCACCATCCACTACTAAGACCTCTAAATTTAGTTATAATCACTTCAGGCACTTAATGAATTTATAAGTATCTGATAAGTTGCTAGTATCCTGCTAACATCTTGTTTAAATTGTATTAGTAAAATTAAGTTATTTTAAGTTCCACTTGGTTTTTAAGTGAACTTATAACATAATAATGAAATTATAATCAAATAAAGTAGAAGACTAAATGAAAATAAGTAAATATAAGTGAAACTAAGTAAAAATAAGTGAAGATAAGTGAAAATAAGTGAAATGCATGTTTTTTTCGATTGAATAACAGAATTGGATTGCAACAAACACCAAATGATCTGAGGTGAAAATGGTTGCTGCCCAGGAATAGTTGGAGAAATAGATACCTGAAAACTATGATTGATGTAAAGGAAAGTTCCAGTAAAAGGAGATTCCATACTTTTCAGGAACTCTCCTTTGCTGTAACTTTCCTTTACAGGAACCATCCTTTTCAGGAACTCTCCTTTACTGGAACTTTCCTTTACAGGAATCATGGCTTTCAGGCACTCTCCTTTGCTCGGAACTTTCCTTTACAGGAACCATAGTTTTCAGGAACCCTCCTTTGCTGGAATTTTCCTCTGCAGGAACCATCCTTTTCAGGAACTTTCCTCTACTGGAACTTTCCTTTACAGGAGCCATCCTTTTCAGGAATCCTGCAAAGGAACGTTCCAGTTAAGGAAAGGTCCCAAAACGGACCCTACTTTAAGCCTTGAGGCCAATTTATCTTGAAAAAAGGAAAATTTTCTGAAAATTCAGGTTCTTGAAAAGGACAACTGAAACCTGAGAAAATCCAGACAAGTCAAAATCCAGAAAAGTCAGAACATATTTAAATACAAAAAAAATCTGAATCCCAAAAAATCATAAATTCACAAAAAATAGCATCCAGAAAACTTAGAAAATTCAGAATCCAGAAAATCAGGAAATAAAAAACAGAAACTTTCTATAGAAACAAAAAAAGAATCGATACGATTCAGAAACCAAAAAAAACATAGAATCCAGAAAACCAAAAAAAATGGAATCCCGAAAATCTAGAAAATTCAGAATCCAGAAAAATCAGAAATCATAAAAAAATCTAGAAAATTTAGAAACCAAAATAACTGGAATCTAGAAAATTTAGAAAATTGAGAAATCTTAAAAAAAAATCCAGAAAATTTAGAAGCCAAAAAAACTGGAATCTAGAAACTCTAGAAAATTCAAAATCCGCAAAAAAATCAGAAATCTTAAAAAGAATAGATTCTAGAAAATTTAGAAACAAAAAAAACTGGAATCTAGAAAAAGTAGAAAATTCAGAAT